ATATATATTTTTAAGTAGTATTAATTATAGCGAGTTATAGCGTTTACAACACAAATAATAAGGTTTCAATTTCTCTGTGACTGCCTTTGTATTTCTATGTCCGGATTTGCTGTACATTTGTTTAAATAAGGAGAGCCGCGTAGCATATATATGATTTACATATATAGATTTATATATCTATATATAGATCATTTGATACGCCAGGGATTGTTTTCAATATCCAGATTTTGATTGCTATTTCGAGTTGAGGTTAGATTTTCGGTTTATCCGAAGGATCTGCTGCTTTCATCGTTTTGATTTAATGCCTGTCGTGAAATAAATTCGACTATGAAAAAAATGTCTTATCTTTCATCGAAACTCTCGACCCACCTGTTCATAGCCTCTATGTTGCATCACGCCTACCACTCGCTCCAGTCACTTTGTCCACTAGGCTGGCACTGACACCAGCTGTTGCACCGGCGCCCAGGCGCTCAATGACACGCGAATCACAGGAAATTGTGCGCTGCAGACAACGCGAGCGCTCGCTCATCTTCTCCTGCTGCTGCTCCAGCAACGTGGGTGCCGCATTGAAGTGGCCACCTGCAAAACGAAAACTATTAGCAAATGGACTTTTGGATATGATTCAAAGCTTACCCTTGGGCTTGTCATCGAACATGTGCAGCTTGTGAGCAGTGCTCAGGATGCTGTTGACCGTGCTCAGCGTTGCCGCTGCTGAATTCAGCACGGAGTTCTTCGGGTTGCCCTTGAGCGTCGAGGAGGATTGCTGTTGCTGCTGCTGTTGCTGGTAGAGATGATTCTTGTCGCCGCCGCTGCTGCTGCTGCCGTTGTTCTGATTCTGATGGACGCTGATGGAATTGCGTCGATCCCGCATCGCCTGGTAGCGTTCTGGCGACTGCAGCGAGCATTTGTTAATGGTCTGCGGCTTGGCAAAGCAGCGCTCCGTTGGCGTTGTCGGCGTCGTCGGAGTTGTGGGCGCAGTGTCGACCGAGGGGCGATGCCGCATGCGATATTCGCTAATCGACAGCTTGCGTTTCGGCATCGGCGCTGGCTCCGGCACGGTCAGCATGGGATTTAAGCGGGGATCATGGCTGGCAGTGCGCGTGTAGAGCTTGAGCGGCGTTGTCGATGGCGGCGGCATGCTCTCCAGTGCTGTAGCCAGCCCATTGCTAGCTGCCATGGCAATTGATGCTGTAGCGGCTGCGGCTGTTGGTGGAACAGCAACGACTGTTTGGGCTGTCGCTGTAGCTGCTGCGGCCGCCGCCTTCGATTTGGTTGCCTCCAAGTACTCGGCCAAACTAGGGATGCTGCTGCTGCTGCTCATTTTGGCCAGCGGCGAGGACACCAACGATGCAATGGCCGGCATCACTGGCGGCTCCTGCAACTTGCCATAGATGGTGTTGTAGAAGGGCAGCTGCGGCAGGGGAGCACCGACAGGTGGCACTGACATTGCTGCTGTTGGCATTGCTGTTGGTGGCGTTGACAATGTTGGTTGCGTGATTAGCACAGGTATCGGTGCAGCTGATATGGGCGCTGAATGAACAGGGGGCGTGGGCGTGGGCGTGGCTGTAACTGGCTTTGTTAAGGCCGGCTTAGCTAATGCTGTCTTATTGGCCATTGCATTTGCAGCTGTTGCAGTCGTCTGCTGTTGCTTCTGTTGATTATTGGCCTTAGCCTTTGTCGTCTCCTTGTCCTTGTCCTTGTCTTTCTCCTTTTGCTTGCCTTTCTCCTTCTCCTTTTGCTTCTTCTCACGATCCTTTTTCTTGCTCTTCTTCTTTTCCTTCTTATCCTTTTTCATAGCGGCCGCAATGAGCGCCTGCTGCCTGCTGCCGCACATAGATTCGCGCCGTCGACTGATCGGCGTCAATTTACCGCTGGCGATGGCCGCTGCCAAGCTCATAGAACCGGTTGCCTCCTGCTGCTGTTGCTGCTGCTGCGGCTGATGGTGGTGATGATGGTGATGATGATGATGATTGTTCTCCTTGCGATGCTGCTGCTGTGCTGTTGTTGGCGCAACAATCGCCGCTGCTGCTGTTGCTGCTGCCGTTTGCTGATGCTGCTGCGGGGTTTTGCTGGTATTGAGCAATAGACTGCTGCTGAGTATTTGGCTGTTGGGCTTCGTGAGCTCCTGCTCAAAGTTGGTCTGACGCTTCTTTGTGGCTCCTAGTACTGGAGTTGTTGGCACTGTGGGCGTTGCAGGCGTGCCTGCTGTAACACACATTGACATGGTGCGACGTCGCTGCTGCTGCTGCTGTTGCTCGAGCACGTTGCTGTTGTGTTTGGTCTTGCCATTCGTTGTTGCTGTTATTGCTGCCGCTGTGACAGGTGTGAGTGTTGCAGGTGTGGGTGTTGTTGCTGCTACAGCTGCTGGCAGCTGGAATTGCTGCTTCGACTCTTTGGGCTGCTTCTTTTTGGCCTCAGGCGCAGCAACGGCCAAGGCTGCTGCAATAGCTGCCGCCTTCAGTTTATCTTTCTCCTTTGACTTCTTCTTGTCCTTTTTCGACTTCTTGATCTGCTTGTCGCGCTCACGCTTCTCATCCTTCACCTTGCTGGACTTTTTGGTGGGCAAGTCAACGCCGGCTGCAATATTATTGCTGCTGCTGCTGCTGTTGTTGTTGTTGTTGTTGTTGCTCTGGCCGGAGCAGCTGCTAGTTGCCTTCTTATTGCGCGACTGCAAATAGGATATGTTCTCAGCATGGAAGGATAAGAGACGCTCCTGTATGTCCAGCTCGGTTAGGTTTTTGCTGCTGGCTGCAGGCGTAGCAATTGCCGTTGCTGTTGTTGTTGTCGTCGCCGTTGGGGTTGACGTTGCTACCGCAGCAACTGTTGCAGCTGTTGTGGTTGCAGCTGTAGCTGCTACTGCTGTTGTTGTTGCTGCTGTTGAGTTTGTTTCCAACTTGGGCTTCTTTTTAAGCGGTTCATCCTCATCCTTCACAGCTGCAGCGCGCGGTTTGGCAGTCGCCTTGGACTCAACCACAGTCGCCGTTGCAATGGCTGTTGTTGCTGTTGCTGGCATTGCAGTCATTGCTGCTGTGCGCAGCAACGATTCACCTGGCTTGGGCTCAGGCAGTGGGTCCACTTTAGCTGTTGGCTCCGGCTTAATTTCCGCCTTGGGCTCTACTTTAGTCACCTGCTGCTTCTCTTCTGGCAAAGGCTCCACCTTGGCGATGGCTTGTTGTTGCTCTTGCTGCTGCTGCTGTTGCTGCTGTTGCTGTTGCTGCTGTTGCTGCTGTTCCTCCTTCTCGCGCTTAACATTGATCAGCTCTTCAAACTTGTCACACGCTTGACTCTCCTCACGCTCCACATCAATCTTGACATCCTCCGCTGCGGCACTTGTGTCCTCCGGCTCAATCTTGACCAGATTGTCTTCGGCAACGATTTGCTGTGCACCGGGACTGGGCGACCGCAAGATGTCCACATCATCATCCTGCTCGAAGTGCTGATGCGTCTCGACTTTCAGCACTTCCGTCTGTGCCTGCTCCAACTGCTCCACTTTGTGCTCCTCCTCGCCGGCGCTGCCAATGACGTCGATGTGCGGCTCCTCACTTGCCGTCGCCTCCAACCCACCATTGCTGACGACCACCAGACGACGCTTCTTCAACGGCGTGCTGAAGCCGTTCGAGAGCAAAGGCGGCGTCTGCTGCTGCAGCTGTTGTTGCTGGTGCTGCAGCGGCGATATGCTGGGCGTGGGCGTCACCGTAGCCTGGGGCTGATTCTCATCGGTTGTCTCTTCGCTAATGGCCTGGCGCAGCCAACGCTTCTTCACCGACGAATTGTTCTGCACGGAAGGCATCTGCGAGCGCTCAGTGGCCTCCACTTGATGTATGAACTGCTCCACTTTGAGCAACGCTGGAGCATCGATTTGCAGTTGCTGCGATTGCTGTGCGGGAATTTGCTGCATCTGTTGCTGTTGCTGTTGCTGCTGCTGTTGCTGTTGCAGCTGCTCCCTGGAGCCATTTATTTCGCTCATGGCTGCTTGGACTAGACTGTCCAGTCCAGATTGTTGCTCGCATTGCTCCGACTGAAACCAGCTGGACATGAGCGACTTCTTTGTCTTGGCGCCACTGGGCGGATACTTGAACTCCCCAACGGATGGCGATTGCAACGATTGCTGCTGCTCTGGCTGCTGCTCTAGCGGACCCATTGCTGCCTCAATTAGCAAACAGGCGCTGCTGACCGCAGACGTTTCTGCTGGCGGCTTGAAGGGCTCGCAGTTGTTGTGCGCCAATGCCAGCAGCAAGCCCGCAGCCTGATCTGTAGATTGTTGTTGTTGCTGCTGCTGCTGCTGTTGCACGCTGTTGTTGTTGTTGTTGTGCTGCATTATATTCTGATGCTGATTCAGATTCAGATTTTGATTCTGTAGAGCGGGTGAAGCCAGCTCCGATTCGGTATGCGATTCAGCATCCGATTCACTTAGACTCTTTCTGCGCTTGCTGTTGTTGTTGTTGTGGTTGTTGTAGCTGCGACTCACTTTGCGCTTCTTTTTGTTGCGCCTTGCTGCGCCAGCTTTGCTGCTGTTATTGTTGTTGTTGTTGGTGCTRGTGGGCGTGCCCAAGTTCAGAGAGCTGCCGTCGGCCGACTCACTCATGGAATTGCTGCTGGCATTGCGTTTGCGCGGCGATGCTGGCGAATTGCTCATGCGCTGCTTGCCACCCACTTGGCGACTCTCTGCGCCCGCCGCTGCACCGCCGCTGGCCTTCTTGCCGCGCGCCTCCTGCTTCTCCATTTTGTCGATGGCACGCAGAATGGCTTCCAACTTGCGTTCCTCGCGAGATTTTGGCTTGTCCTTTTTGGCAGCGGGCGTAGATGTTGCCGGCGTGCTGGCAGCTGTTGACGATTCCTCCACCTTGGCCTCTCGTACGGCGGAGCTATTAATTGTTGTTGCTGTTGCTGCTGCTTTTGCAGGCGTTTTGCGTGTTGTTGGAGTTAAATTGATGCTATTGTTGTTGTTATTGTTGTTATTATTATTGTTGCTGTTGCTGCAGTTGTTGTTGAGCTGTGAGTTCGCTTTTGAAGGCGTTTTGGTGGGCGACACTGATGCCTGATAAATCTGTGCTTGCTGCTGGGGTGATGGCTGTTGCTGTTGTTGCTGTGACTGTTGCAATTGGAATTGCTGTAGTTGTTGATGTTGCTGTTGCTGCTGTTGCTGCTGCTGCGACTGCTGTTGCTTAAGCGGCTGTGTTGTTGTAATTTTTATGGGCGTCGCCATGTGCGCTGTGGGCGTGGCATGTAAAGTTTGTAATGCGCTAACCGCCATGCGTGCCTCATCAGCCAGCTGTTGCTGCTGCTGTGCGTATTGCTGCTGCTGCTGCTGCTGTTGTTGCTGCTGCTGCGGCTGCTGTTCTTGTTGTTGTCGCTGCACATTGATTTGCTGTTGCTGTTGCTGTTGTGACTGTGGCTGGTGCGGAGACTGTGGCTGCAAATAGAAAGTAGCCATCGGTCGCTGTGCCGCTGCTGCAGCTGCAATTACCGCCAGCGGCTCCTGTTGCTGCTGTTGCTGCTGCTGCTGGTTTTGCAACAGCGATGGTTGCTGCTGCTGTGTCGGCTTCTGCAGCAGCTGTGGCGACAGCAACATAGGTGTCGGCAATGCAGCGAGTATTTGCTGTTGCTGCTGTGTTGGACTGCGATGCAGCAGCGATGTCTGCTGCTGCGCCGGTTGCTGCTGCTGCTGCAACGTGGGCGACTGCAATTGCGTGGGCGTAGGCGATGGAATCGACACCGATGGCGATGACGACGATGTACAAATGCCCGAGTCGTGCAGCACACTGGACATGGAAACGGAGCACGAGTTGTTGCTGTTGCCGCTGTTGCTGTTGCTGTTACAGAGCATTGCAGCAGCAGTTGCCACCGCTGTCACGCCGTTGCCCATCGTACTCATCGTGGCAGCCGGACTGGGCTTAAAGCCCAAATTCAACTGGCTCAGCTGCGGACTGTTGAGGCCCATGTGGCTGCTGCTCTCGCCACTGGAGGAGGTGGAGCGATTGCGTGCMGTTGCCGCTGCTGCTGCTGCTGCCGCTGCCACTGTGCTGCCCATGCCCATGGTCAGCTGTATCGCTGCGGCGCTGTTGGCAGCCGTTGCTGCTGCCGCGGCTGCAGCGGCGGCCTTGTTGCGATGACTGCTGCGCGGCTGAGCGGGCGGCGCCTGCAGCTGCTGTTGCACAGCCAGGGGCAGGGCGAACAGGCAATCACTGCCCAGATCACAGGCGCACCGTGTGCTCGTCGGCTGTATGACCGCCGAGTGGGACTTCTTCTGCTCCACAGCTGCCAGGTCGTGCGGCTCGTGCCGCACCGTGATCTCCGTCTGGGCTCGAATGTGCGTCAGCGCCACAATATACAGATGCAGTGTGCCCTTCTCGAAGTAGTGCTGCAGCTCGGCGTTGGGCCGGCACGAGCGACGCACGAAGCGGGCGTCGTTGCCATAGGTTCGCGTATCGACGCACACCTCGGGTCCCTTGAGATAGGCGGGCAACGGTGGCGGCGGCTGGTGGTTCGCCTGCTGTTGATGCGTTTGCATGGGCGCCTCCACGCCGGGCAGCTGATAGAAGAACACAAACTGTCCGGGCGTCTTGTGCACCTTGAAGCTGTTCAGATAGTTGCTCGGCGGCGGCGTATTCATGTTCACGGTGGGATTCTGCGTGCGAAACTGCGTGGTCAGCATGTACTTGCCGCGCAGCTCATGGATGGGCGAATGCGGCGCCAGATCCACGCTGCTGATCAACACCTTGGCGCCCGCATACGGTATCAGCTGGGCGCGCTTGTCCAGCTCCGAGGCACAGCCGCCAGCAATCAGACGCAGCGCCTTATTCTCCGTATTCTGTATGCTTTGCAACAGGCTGGGCTGCTTCTGTATGGCATGCAGACGGGCACGCAACTCGGGCGAATAATGATTCGTTACGGCGTACTCATAGTGCTCAATCCACTGACGCAAGTTGGCAGCATGCTTCTCGGCGGCAGTCAAGGCAGGACCGCTGCCCCCGGCGCCATCGCCACCAGATTTGCTCTTGCGCTTGCTGCTCTTCTTTGTCGACTTGGAGCTTCCAGTGCCGCCGGCTGACCCGCCACTGGCATTCAGCTTGTCGCCGCTCTTCTTGCTCTTCTTCAGCGTGCCGGCTGCGCCATCTTTGGTTTTCTTTGATTTCTTGGTTATGCCACCAGCAGCTGGGCCGAAGCCACCATTCGGGCCGGCTCCGAGCCGTTGTTGCTGCTGCTGATGCTGCTGTTGTTGTTGTTGCTGCTGCTGCTGCGGCARCTCTTGGCTGTTGTAAAGCAGGGAGCCTGCCGCTGTCGCTGCTCCGCCCATTGAATTGGCTGCTGATGCTGCCGCTGAAGCGCCAACAGCGGCTGCCGTAGTTCCCGTTGCAGTCGGCGCACCACTTGCCGCTTGTGTAGCCACGAGCAGCATATGCTCTCGACGCTTTTGGCGCTGCAGCGCACGTGCCCTGGCCTTGTCCACGGGTCGCGGCTGGCACAGCTCGCACTGATACTCCTCGGGTATGTTGAGGCGATCGATGCCCATGCAGTCCACGTGCTGCCAGGCGCTATGGATGGTGTAATTCAACATTTTTGATTAGTAAACGCAACAATCTAGAGGGCTGGCATACTTACGAGCACTTGTCGCAGCAGATCATGTAACCATCGTCATGGGTTAGCTCACAGATGCAGCGGGTAACCGAATCATCCTCAGCTTCTGCCTCGGGCGCTGTTTCCGTCTCCTCGCCTGGATCAATATCGGCGCTGGCCAGACGTGAGCTCCCGCTTATAGCCGACTGGGCGTCATCATCATGCGGCACATGGCGGCCCACTGGTTGGGTAAATGACGACAACGAAAGATTTATACATTTTTTTATAATATTAAGATATATTAACTCACTCTGTTGTCCATAGAAACTGTTGAAGCCCCCCGGAGTCGTTGCGGGGCCGCTGACAGTGACACCAATGCCGCCAAGGGACCACTGCTGTGGCTGCTGCTGCTGCTGCATTTGCTGTGCGGCTGTGGCTCCACCGGTCGCCAACTGCTGCTGCTGCTGCTGCTGTTGTTGTTGCTGCTGCTGCTGAGAGGCGTACGTGTGATCCTGCATTATGGCGTGCAATTGCTGCAAACGCAGGTCTTGAGTGTGCACAGGCACTGGACGCACTTCCTCTATGTACAGTTCCTCCTCGTTTGCGTTCAGTTGTTGTGGCTGCTGCTGCTGTTGTTGTTGTTGTTGTTGCTGCTGCTGCTGAGGTTTCATCAAAAGCGTCGCTGTCTCCACGTGCACAGGCGTCAAGTGTGGACTCGCTGCTGAGCCCAACGCTGTCGCCGCTGTATTTAAGCTCGTGCTGGAGTTGCTACTGCGCAGTCCACTGTTTAAATTATTTAAGCTGTTGCTGCTGCAATAAATTTCAGAAGTTAATTTTTACGTTAGTTGTGCGCGTTGACAGTTTTCGTTAGGAAATGGCTCGACGTAGAAACAAAACCTATCACTAGACTAAGCTCTCGATATCGATAGCTACAGAAGCTGAGAATCTGTGCTGCTTGGTGCTCGGAGTCAGGGCAACTTTTCCGTATCCAAAATGAACTTGGCAACCATTTTTTTCGATCCCTCATTCAAATTGAATTGATGTGTTTAACCAACTGTCAAGTAACCTCACTAGGCAAAACAAACTAGATCGTAAGCAAATATTTCATTTCAAATACTCCTAATGAAACTTCCAATCCTAACATTGAAAACTTTGTCCGTTCTCTTTTCCATATACCTTCATAATATATTGTTAAAAATTAAGATATTTCAAGTATATAGGAGAATCTTATTGCTTTCTATTCTAATCTATTTAACATTCTAATGCAAATTCAGTTTGATAATAATATGAGAATTACTTCAAGTCAATGCTGGAAAGAATCTAATAATAGTAGGTCTATAAAAAAATCCTTACAAAATTCTGATATTATTTTTACATTATATTATTATTGTTATATGTGAGGGCATTAGAATCCCTTTCCTCTCAAAGTCTTTGAATGTTTTGCCTTTTTCAATAAAATTCTAATTTCAATTCCTCAATCAAGTTTAATTTTGATTGAAAACCAGTTACAATAGATTATTTTTTTATTATACTTTATTTTCATTTAAGTTTATTCCTTTTGACTATAACTCAACATAATGTTTACCTCGCCAATTACTCACCTGTGCTTGTAATACTCGACCACAGTGGGCGGCGGTTTGCGCATGTTTGCTGCTGCTGCTGTGACAGCCTCGTGGAGCAGGTGCTGTTGCTGCTGCTGGATTTGCTTGCGCTCGAGCGACGTTGCTCGGCTGGTGGGCGCACTGACCGACTGACGGCGCGCCGCCGTCGCCGACATGTAGGAGGACATTGCGGCACTGCCGCTGGCAAAGCCATGCGAAGAGATGCTCACCGAGGGCGCGCTGGAGGAAGTCACCGTCAGATACGAGCCAGATGCTGGCGATGACGTGGCTGGCGAGGGTGATGGCGATGAGGCTGGCGTCAATGTTGCTGTTGACGACGAGCTGGGCGACATGCCGGCTGCTGCTGCTGCTGCAGCTTGATAGTGGCTCAACAGCAGATTGTTTGACGTTGCTGTTACAGTGTTGTTGCTGTTGTTGTTGCTATTGCTACCGCTGCTGCTGTTGTTGTTGCTGTTGCTGCTGCTGTTACCGCTGCTATTTCCTCCGTATATAATTTGCGTGGGTGTCGACGTTGGCTGTGGCGGTGGCATGCTTGCATTTGCTGCTGCTGCTGCTGCTGCTGCCGCTGCTGTTGTTGGTGTTGATGTTGGTGTTGTCTGCTGCTGAAAGCGCTGCTGCTGCTGGCTAAAGGACTTTTGTGCCATGCTCTGCAGAATGCGCGCCGAGAGCTCATCTGTCATCTGCGTGCCATTCACAATCATCACATCGTCTGTGATCAGGGAGGATTGATGATGTTGCTGCTGCTGCTGCTGGTGGTGGTCGGTGCTGCTGTCGCTGCTGCTGCTGTTGTAGTGAATGCGCTTGACCTGGCCCTGGGGCGGATGCTGCTGGATGACGGTGCCGTGTGAGTTGACAAACTTGATGGCTCCCGCCGTCGACTGCTGCAACATATAACCGCCGCTGCCGCCCCCAGCCGTCGTTGTGGTCTTCTGCTGCAGCTGCGTGCCTTGCGGCAAGTTGGCGGCTAACTGTTGCAGCGGTTGCTGTTGCAATACATATTTTGTGTTGCTGCTAGCAGTCAGTTTGTTCAGCTTATTGGGCGTCAACTGTTGGTGCTGCTTGCCATAGGCATTCTGCTGCTGCTGCTGCTGTTGCTGCTGCTGTGGCACCGCAGCAATGGATAGGCCGCCGGACGCGCTGCTGTACTGCTTGACGAATTTGGGTTTAACGGCTGTCTTGTGTGTTGCCTGCTGTGAGGAGATGAATGCCTTCAACTGTTGCTGCTGCTGCTGTTGTTGCTGCTGATGTTGCTGCTGCTGCTGTTGTTGCTGCTGCTGCTGTTGCAACATGTTGCCAACACTCTTGACTGTTATTTTCTGATTGGCCTTCTTGAGCAGAGCCGCCGCCGTTGTCGTTATCGCCGGCCGGCTAACGTATTTCTGCTGCGCCGCTGACGCTGACTGCACAATGATCTGCGGCGGCTGCTGCTGCTGCTGTTGCTGTTGCTGCTGGGGCGGCACATACGACTGGAGTCGCGTCACAACCCGCGAGCCCAGCGTTACCTTCTGCATGACCGGCGTGCCGCTACCCTGCTGCGTCGCCTGCGCGTACCCCTGTAGCTGCTTGCCATTGGCGTTGGCATTCACAGCTTTGTAGGCGCCAATTGTGCCAAACTTTTGCTGCTGCTGCTGCTTGAGCGCRGGCGTTGCCGTCACATACGGCAGATTCTTAGCATTCACATAGCTGAGCTGCTGCTGCTGTTGGTGTTGTGACTGGGAGGACAGGGCGGGCGCCTGTTTGGACAGCACCGTGAGATTACTGAGCAACAGCTTCGAGTTATGCGGCGGTGTTGCAGCGGAGGTGTCGATGATGACGTTGCTGGTGCTGCCATCGGTCGTGACAATTTTGTAGATCTGCGGATTGAGCAATTCATGTTGCTGCTGCTGCTGTTGCTGGGGCAAATGTTGCTGCTGTTGCTGTTGCGCTGTTGTCGTACGCACCGCGTACTTCTGGGCGGGCTGCGCCTGAATGGACATGCGCCGCTGCATAATCCGCTTCAGCTGTGCCTGCGTCGACAAGCTGCTGCCATCAATCACAATGTGTGGCGGATGCTGCTGCTGTGTCCCACTGATCCCGATTCGTGTGGTGGCGCTGCTATTACTGGTACTGCTGCTGCTATTGTTGCCGCTGCTGCTGCTGCTGCCAACGACAGGCTCCACGAAGACCGTATCATGCGTGGACATGGGCATTTTTACGAAGTTCAATTGCTCACAAAATAATATTTTTTTTTTAATATATATCTCTTTTTTGTTTCTATATTTATAGAAGTGGTTTAAACCTAAGTTAGATGGAGCGGGGGAGGCTGCTTTTAACTGGTGCTAAGTTTTTGTTGCTTTTCTTTTTGCTGCTGCTGTTTCCGCTGTGTATTAACTTTTGGCATTTCACAACACTGCCTCACTAGACATCTTATTCACTAGAAGCTTTTCCCGCTGCGGCCGCCGATGATGTTGTTGCTGCTGCTGTTGCTTTAATATTTTTGTATTTTGTGACTTTAGTCGCGTTGCACTGCAGTTCCTATTGCTGCTGCTGCTGCTGCAATTGCTGCTGCTTCTATTGGTGATGGTGCCCCCAAACCTATGGGGGCCTAATGCATAACCAGAAATGCTCTTTTCGGCGGTGTTTGCCTGACCGCTGCTTGCGGTTGCTAATTGTGGGTGGCGCGCATTCAAATTGCATAAACGATTTCCAACACTGTGCCACATTACATTGTTAGCCATTACAAACATAACGGTGCGTGTATTGTCTCTCTTTCTTTTGCCTCTACTTCTACCAAGTCGACGCTTCCGTTTTGGTGCGCCTCCCGTTTAACTGTAGCTTTGCAAGTTCTATTTTAGCACTCGTTGTTCCTGGTTTCGGGTGTGTGTCGTTGTTTTATTATTATTATTATTTTKCTTCTTATTGTTGTTGTTGTCCAGCACAACGAAACTGCTTTAAATTTAACTCATTAAACGATCCTTCGTTGTATGTTCCATTTGCTGCAATGATATAAACAGAATAGTTTTTAAGTTTTATTTACTATAAACAATAAATAAATTTAGGTAATTATAAATCAGATTATTATTTCTTCTCATTCATGTTCATATAAATAAATAAACAAAATAAATAAATAAACAAATGCTAAGCATATTCAGAAACTAATTTAAATTTTGCAACCGATTATCGATTAGTGTAACTGATTTATCGCCACAGCGTTGCCAGCTGCCAGTTTGTTGCTTATGTAATGACAAAAACCAAACGCATGCGCGTCACAAATTCTTGTGTATTTTTTTCGTTTGCTTTTTGTGTGTCGTTTGTGCTTACACTTGCAGCGCGAGTAGAAGAAACCAACCCGTCAAAACTTGTTAATAGAGAGAGCCAACACACAGAAAGCAACGCGAACATCAAACTGCCAAAGCAGTCAAAGCAGACCAAAGAAATACGTTATGAACCTGCATTGTTTACATTTGTATGCGTGCGCAAGTACAGTGGAGCCAAACCATCATTTCCTTTGCCCCCTTTTAAAAAACTGTGCACTTTTGCTCAAATAAATAAAACCTGTTATTTTGACTCGTACTCAGGGCAGTAAATCAATATTTATGAGCACTTCTAATACTAAGGCATTAATACTCTATAATAAATGGTAAGAGTTTCAGTTTCAGTTTCAAGTTCCTATTAGAATTCCTATTTAAATTTTACATTAATATACATTTTTATTTGTTTTACTCGTATATATTTATTTCATTCGTTTTTTTTTAGTTTCTAAATTATATGGTTTGATTTGTTGTTTACATCCATCCAGCAGCATTATCTTATTTAGTATATTTCTCTTTCTACTTCGGCTCATTGTTTGGCATTTCTGCTATGCGCATGTTTCTCTAATTTTATAGTTTTTTTTTTTCAGTTTCTCTGCACCTAGCTATTCGCATTTACAATTTACACACATAGCTACTATATATGTACATATATATAAACCGTACTGTAAAAGTGCATGTGTGTGCATTTGCTTGTAGTTCTGCTTTGCTTTTGGTCGTTGCCAAAGCCAAAGCAAAAAGTGAATGCACTAATTTTGCCTTGGCATCCGGCGCGGCATTCATGGCAGTCAACGACATCGTCTTATTTGCTGCTGCATTGTTGTTATTGTTGTTGTTGCTGCTGCTGTTTGCAGTATCTATTGCTAGTTGTCTCGTCTCCTCTTGGGCTGCACTTGGCTCTCGCAGTTACTGAGTACGCGCCTATTGAAATTTCATTTCTAATTGAGACGAAGGCAGCGAGGGCAACACACATTTGCATCGACCGCTGCTCAATTGAATACGCGATGCATGTGTTTATTCTGTTGTTGTTTTGTGTATGCCTATGCCTTTACTTTGCCATCAATTGACACAAAAATAAAATAAATAAAAAGAGAGAATAAACCGCAAAATTCACCAGAATTGCGAAATGCTAATTGCACAGTCAATGTGTTTATGTAACCCCATGATTTGTGTTATAAATATGCATGTATGCAAATGCTTTTTCCAAATGTATAACACAAATTAACAATGTATAACAGCTTATTTAGTCAGTTATGTAACGGTGCAATGCCTACTCTTAAGCGTATGCAGATGCTTAAATGTAATTTAATATTCAAGTATTCTTTCAATCTTTTAATTTTTCTGTTACACATACATATACATATATGTTTTTAACGGCCTACGTATATGCCTGTATGTGTAATCATGTGTGCTCACATGAATTATTTCCGTTTCATGTGTTTCCCAATAACAGCGACAAATAACAACACAGCCCCAAGATAACAAACAGCAGCAACAAATATGTAGACTCGTACGTACATATATACATATGTATGTATTTAAGTATATACAACATCGTATTAAAAAAGCCAACAAATTATAAAATAAGCGGGCATTTTTACATGTAGTTAAGTTCCAATATCTAACACACTAGCACATGCGTACACACAAATGAGCACACACGTCACTTAAGCGTAAATGCGAAAAAAATGTATTAGCAAAAGCTATAACCCTACCCCAACCAACTGCTAAAATGCGCGCCATAAACAATTTACACTCGCGTAAATCGCTTTTCGTGTGCGTTTGTATGTTCATGTGTGTGAATAGCAAACTTCCGAGAGAGCATGTTTGAATGCACAATAGAACATATTGACACAAACACATACACACACACACATACACATGCATACGAACTCTGCGAATGACCACGGTGCTTTTCTATTAGCTTTGCAAACGTTAAAAAGAGAAAGAAAGAACTCACTGTTTAGGAAAGCAAAGCTTGGGCACTGTCACTCACGGCGTCAGGTCAAAGCAAAGCGAATCAAAGCTTCCCAATTTAAAAAATGAGCGAAAAATCTAATCGGAACAAACGATCGATAACAATAGCAATACACACTGTTTATCGACTACTCGCAATCGCACTAGTAGACGTTGTAAATAAATTACTACGACTACTATGACTTGATTACAGCAATAAGACTAGCTAATTTTGGCATTGCATTCCCACTATGCAGACATCAATACAGCAGCCCCACACCCAGCCTCAGACACACCTACACTTTGCATGGCACACACTATCTGTATTTGTGTTTTGCATATGAGTTTGTTGTTCATGATGCCACCTCTCGGCTCAATGTTCCGAGTGTCAACTAATTGCGTCTTATTTTTTTATTTGTCGCGCGTACTTTATACGCTCGTATGCCCATGCCCCACTGGGCAGGCATATTTGAATAGTTTTATTGGATAAGCCTCGTACAGCCCCGTACAATTTGCACATCTGTTAAATTGCCTACCTATAGGGTATTAATATGAAGCAAAATATATTAAGTACTAATAAGAAATATATAAATATTAATTGAAATACACATGTACTTGTTCATATTTATATAAATGTGTATGTAATCTAATAGGTTACACATTTAGAAACTTCTTGCACATCCTCTTTCGCTTATGATACCTATGCATGTGTACGTATTTGGGTGCATAGTTATTAATACATACATACACATGCATATAGTTTTGGCGGGGGTGTATTCGCGGCAAATACTGGCATCCCTTGAAATATCGAATATTTTTTTGATTTTCCATGGCATTGTTCAGATTGGGGGGTTTGTGCATATAAGTTTCGTATGCGCTAAACGAATACAAATATACATATTAAAAACTTGTCCATCGACTTTTGCTTTCATTTTTGCCCATACTACAGAAAGTAGCGAAAAATCGTACAGAGCAGGCGAGGCAAAAATCACGTATGCGTAAAGAGTAGCATCGGCAGCGTGTAGATTGAACTATGCGAGAAAAAGAGACAAACATATAACACACATACCAATAATGTGAACAACTGCAGCCAACTTAATGGAGTACAACCGTGCAACAGCGAGAATTGATAATAAATCATTTGACGAAAACATAACACACGATTGGAGTGTACAGCAAAAATGAGAAAACCAAAGGAAATTGAAAAGAAAAAATCTAAGCAACGGCGGTACTGTTCTAGCATATAAAATTTGTATCAAACGCAATTTCAAAATGGCGGAAAATCGCAAATACCTCAACCATATATTTAAAAGAATTAATTTTGTAAATAAGACGTTCCCAACTATTTTATTTTGGTTCGTTGTTGATGCGCATGTCAAAACAATACAGCATGAAAAGAAATATAATGTGGTTGAAGACTTAAATGTACCTACAAAAGTGCATTTGCTTCCAAACAATTTGGAGTATAAATATTATAGCCCTATTGTAAACATTCTATTTCATATATTTAATGAACAATTTTTACTAAAAACATTTAATTCACATTTTATATACATATGTATATATTTACTTTACTTTGCATAGCTGGCAACTCTGTGGAGCTCTATTATGCACAACTAACTTCACGTTGCACAAAAGAAAATAGCAAGCAAAACAAACGAATGCGCAAGCTATATGCCACACGCGTTAGTGGGACAGAGAACAATATATTTTTTCATTGGGGGAAAAATATGAAATTAAATATGGCGACGCACTGCGTGAAAAAAAAACCCGAAAATGACAATAGCACTGTAAACATTTAATTTGACTAACATAAACATTAGTAAATACCGGACTTTATTGCAGCACATATAAACCCAGAGTAGTTTAATTTTCAACTGACAAACAAATCAATCAACTAACATTCTTATATGCAAGTAACCAAAATTTACGCGCGCATTACTGATGTGCTTAGAATGTTTTACTCACCGTGAATGATTATATAGTTTCACTTCATTGTACACAACACTAATTTAAATGGCAAGCTTTGATTTTGTTTTAATGTGTCGCTTTTGCTTTACTTGATACTTAAATTTTGTTTTGTATTCACTTGCTTATGATCTGTTTTTTTATTTTAATTTCTTTTTTTTTTTTTTTTTTTTTTTTTACATTTTCTCAAATTTTAAATGCACACACTGTAATTTGGCTTGCAGGCTTTCTTGTTTTAAAACGCGGCGTTGTTTTAACGTTTGCTGCCTGCTTAAATAAACGTTTACACTTTGATTAATCAATTTTATTATTAATACGTATGGCATAAGAAACAACGAAAATGCGCACAAAACACGTATTGAGTGTGTAACAGAGTGAGATAACTATACTGAGTTGTGCTGCGCGCGCACTTGTATTATAACAGCAACATATAGTGTGGCCGTTTCAGCATACGGACATAAGCATGCCAACTAGTAAAAATCATACCTATTATCGCCTATTTTATTTTGTTCGCGTTGCTGCTTCTTCTACCTGATCTTTCTTTAGCCTATTACTACTGCGCCTGCCATTTCACAGTGTACTTTATAGTGCTGTACGTACATTAATTTTGTCTTTCTGTCTGTTCGTCGATACATACATATATGCATGCATGTACACACACGGCGCCACTGAAATATGTACCTACGTACATACAAATATAAAAATCTATACGCGGATATTGCCGCTCTTATACACAAATTTTTTAATATTTGAATATTGATATACAATAATTTTTAAGGGTAAACATAACCGCCAACTAGAGAAACGAATCGGCACAAGTTTACTGCTATTAAGAAGATATTTATATACACTCAAAAGTTAACTCTTCGTAGATTTTCTGTCAAATGCACAATGGCAAAAAAAAAAACTATAGTTTGATCAAAAATATTTGTAACTACATTTGAACAATTCCTCTTTACATTTTGTACCTCGTTTCGTACTCGCACACAATCACACGCTCAAAAATATACAATGTATGTATGTATATATATAGACCGCTGCTACAACACTTTAATGGCATCTCGCTTGCTCTAATGTTTTATGCGCATTTTACCTTTCACGTCCTATGTGTTTTTCATCTTTACCAACACGCTAATAAGATAAATTTTAAAACTACATTTTAAGCTAGAACTAACACGTTTCACCATTACATTTTAGTGCATTGCGTAAGTAGCACTGGAAAACAGCGCACAGAATATTTTTTTAACAATTTATTTGTTGTTTTTACACCTTTAAACGCGTTTCACACTCCGCGTTACTCCGACTCTTCTTCTTGCTCTAGTGTAAACGCAAGAATGTTAAGTTATGGTTATGTTAGCCATACACTTTACTCAAATGGCACTTTTAAGCTATTAACAGAGCTCATATTTGTAACAAACATATAGTAACAGTGTTGTGGAATGAATTCTTGAACGTCTTGCAGCACTGCCTCATGGCAGGGATTTCTTTATTATGGCACTGCCAACTTGTTATTTAAAGCAGCTGGTAAAAAAAGAGAATAAATAAATAATGCTACGATGGAAGTAAACCCTCTGGCTGTAATACTTGCCTACTTCGACAGCAAAGGCGACCGCCTGCTGTATCGATATCCCTACCACACACTCGGCCAAACACACAAATCGGAAGAGCCCCGAGAGGAGATGGTTAACAAAAAACGAAATCCCTTCGCCGTCACCCACACAGATGATTTGCTGCAGACGCCCACGCAACAGAGCCAGAATCAGCAGGGCACAGGACAACTGCAGGGTTTCGCAGATGACGTACTATCCGCTCTATTCGCTGTCAAGCCACAGTTGTGCAACCAAAAGTTCGAGCTGAAGCTGAACGATGTGCGTTTCGTTAGCCATCCCACATTGATTAGCTCAGCCTCGACAGTTCAGCTAAATGCGGGCAACAGCCAAGCCCTGGCGGCCAGCAGTAGCATAACAACTGCCGGTGCGGCCAAGAAGCAGCAGATGCTGATCAACATTGTGTTCGCACTGCACGCCCAGGCCAGCTACTCCATCGTCAAGTGCTACCACGAGCTGAGCAAGCGCCTGGGGCTGGCGCTCAAGTTCGAGGAGCAGCGCAGCGGCTATGTGACGGAGCAGACGGCGCTGATGGCGCGTACCCACGACGAGCAACAGCAACAGCAGCAGCCGCTGGAGCGCACGCTCGAGCTGATTGCGGAGCGCTGCAGCCTGGCGCAGGCCCTGAAGTCCATCTGCAATGATCTCTGCACCACCGGACTGCTGAGCACCACACTAAATCAGAATCTAACGCTGACCTTCTGCCTGCCGGCCAAGGCCCATCAGCTGCACAAGAAGGGCAGCATGGTGGATCCAGAGACGATCGATCGCTGTCTGCGCGCGCTCAAGCCGTATCATGGCATGCTGCTGCTGGTGGACTTTGCTGAGCTGCTCGACTGTGTGCCGCCGACGGGCGCACGAATGCTATGGCAGCTGGTGGATGCCTACAATCCGCTGATCAGCCTGCAGAGCATGGCCTCCAATGCGGATCTCAGCATCGAGCATGTCTATAAGCTAGTCTCTCACCTGGTCTACTGGGCCAAGGCCACCATCATCTATCCGCTGTGCGAGACCAATGTGTATGTGATCGCGCCAGATGCACCGCTGCACACGCGCTCCCACCTGGTGGAGAAGTTCTCCACTCGCTTTGCGGGAATGTCCTTGTTCGAGGTCATCTCGGACTTCTCGCTGCCCACGTCAATTGGACACCTGACGACGCCGCTGCAGCAGCCGGCACGTCAGGGCATACTCGCCCAGATGGTGCTCTGGATGCTGCAGCATCATCTGCTCATGCAGCTGCACACCTACGTCCAATTCATGCCCAGCGACGTGGACGACGAATTTGGGGAGTCCGCCTCCTGTGCGCATGTCGCCGCCGGCAATCTTACCGAGGAGGAGCAGGACAGCAATCACACCGAAGACGATACTATGAATCGCGTTCCGCATGATGATCCCGTGCACGGTGGCTCCATGCTTAGCATGTCCAGCCAGCCACTGCCGATGCCCGCGAATTCGCATCGTCGCCATCTGACGGACGATCACTTCTCCGTCGCCTCCGATAATATTGCGGTGCAGCCCTCATCCAGCCACAAGTCGAACTTCAGCATGACGGCCTCCATGAGCACGGACAACTGTGACAGTCTCGACTCCATGGAGGATGAGCAGAAACTCAAGGAGCTGCTGCAGGTCTTCAGCGATGCCGATCGCGCTGCCATACGTCGTATACCCGCCTCCCTCAACCTGGACGATCTGTCGCTGCTGGTCAAGCTCTACCAGATGGGCTACTTCAAAAGCGAACATCACCTGGAGGAGATTATGTATTTTGAGAATTTGCGTCGCTCCCAGCTGCTGCAGCTGCTCGACAAGTTCCGCGACGTTCTCATCCTCTACGAGACAGAGGATCCGGCCATAGCCTCCATGTACAACAACAAATAGAATTTATAATAAAGCAAGCATTCCAAATGCATTATGAATGTGACTTACAATAGCTAGGAATATTTTTTCGAGATTTGTGTCAAAATTCTTTGATGGATAACAGAATTTTGCCGATAAGCCTGTGTGGTGAATATTGACAAGTTGTCAAAATGACATAACTTAATAAGTCAAAAGTTAGCTTCCCGAATATCAATATACAATTGATTTCTTTCTGAATATATTATATCTGAAAGTACTAATAGTCGCCTGCATAAATATATTTTTTAATTTCGTAAACTTTATATCCGAGATATTGTCTGATAATTTTACTAATGAACTGAGTTATATCCTTTAATTCATTATCCATCAGAATATACTATCTGGCTATTTTGATTTAAAAATAAAAATATGTTTTAAATTTTTTAAGTGAGCTTGGTAAGTAAGTTTAGACACTACTATTTAGTTACCAAAGTTTTCTTAGGTTCGTCGAAATTGTCAAGGCCTTGAGCAAGACAAAATTATTTATTTATATTATTAAATTACAATTAAAGAGTACTATATCCATAAAATGTTTAAAAAATAAATTAAAGCCCGGATTTTAAAGAACATGGACTATTTAACTATGTATTCATTTTATTTTGAGATTTGGTATGTTTATCAATTTTTTTTGCCTGTTTAACGTAACGTTTTTTTTCTTTGTTTTTCTTTTAATCTATAAAATAATACAAAAATTCACCCAAAGTTTATGAACAAACAAAGAAAATAAAAGAAAACACTTTTGTTGTTTACATACATAACATAAGCTTTATTTGTTGAGTATACCTAACTAACATTGAGTTGACTTGAACAACGTGGACTTTATCCAAGTCGAAAAGGTGCTTAAAATTCTAATAGCCAGCCGATTGAAATTTCTGTGAAACGTTTCGTATACGCCTATACATATATATAGATATACAGATATATATGCCTAAATCTAGTTTACAAAAATATATATATATATGCATATGTACTCGATACATATATATAAAAGTACTTTTTTCTTACAGTTAGATTGTAACTAGCTAATATATAGATGTGATAGATCGTTTTAAATGACTCGATTCGCAGCTGAACTGCCATCAGCGTTTGAGTTTGAGGTGCTTACAAGAAACAAGCAGAGTTTTTATCAATTTGTCTTGATAACGATCCATGCTATATATATATATAAATATATATATATGGTGATATATGTAAATCTAAACGATTCGTGCCCAATTTTCATCAGTATTGACGCAATCAGAGGACTAGATTCGCATTCACAGCTCACAGGCTCGATGAAAATGTGGGTTCATTGATGATGTTTGGGTTAAGAGGTGGATCAAGCTGTTAGCAGGAAATAAACGAAGACAGCTTGTCGCTAGGATTTGTTGTTGTTGCTGCTGTTGGAAATRTTGTTGTTGTACAGATAAGGGATCAAGTTGGGTTCGATTTCCAGCTGCTGCCGCAGTATGGAGCTCATCACAAACTCCGTGGAGACAATATGGCACTTGGGATTGCCATGACGCGTCAGATCCGCGCACAAATGCATATCCGTTGGGCAGGTAACTATGATATATGAGTCGGGCGCTTGCACATGCGCCTCAGCGACAGCCGCACCGCTGCGCCGTTTTAGCTCCACTTTGCCGCCAGATGATTCGATCATGCGTATGATTTCATCACGTGCCGGAAATACATCCGGCGTCACATAGAAGTATTTGCCCGCAAAGAGTGTGGAACGTGTCGGCGCACAGAGAACCGCATCCAAATCGAACTGCAAGTTCTCATCGACGGGTATGTGGCGAATGCGATACTCGTCAGGCGGCACAAATTTGCCGGCCTTTGCGCTATCTATCAGCCAGGTGGACTTGAGCACGTAGTCAACGTGGCAACAGGCCTGAATCAACTTGCAGGTGCGACTCTCGCGTGTCATGACCAAGTGTGTTGCATCCGTCGGACTGTCCACCACAATGCCGCCCAGCAGCCTGTAGAAAATTAAAAGTCGTATATATGAATACATTGAATCATTATTTTTCTTCTTCATCAACTCACTCGACAGCCTTCTTCAGCGCCTCCGCATCGGCGACCTGTGAGAAGATGACCTTGGGCGGCTTGGTTGTCTGCGGATATTCAATGCAAACAATTTGCTCGGGCAGATGCTCTTGGTAGACGCACAATTTCTGGCGTTTCAGCTTCTGCTCGTTGGCATACGGATCGGAAAGATGACGCTTGACGCGCTCATGCGCCTCCTGGGTCAGATTAATGGGCGCCTTCCAAGCGGCTGCAATGTGAAGGCCAATGAATCGTTTAATCCATTATTCTATGTAATTAATATCATTTCAATTTCTTACCTAGCAAATGCTGCACCAGATTGCATTCAATGCGGAATGGTGCGGCCAGATTGTACTGCTGATACTTGGGATTCTCGTACTGGGTCAACCCACTCAGATTGCCGATGCAGACATCGCTCAGCCAGAGGGCATTCACCATCGGAATGTTCCACTCTTTGGCCGCATTGTATTTGTTGCCCTCCAGCTGCTTGCAGACGACGAGCGTGTTCACCTTGGACAGATAGGAGGTGTAAATGGCGCCACACTCCTCGGCCATCTGTTGCAATCGCACCACCTCTTCGCCTTCGAAACCCTCCGAGGTGATGATGTAGCGCTCCAGCGGCTTGCGATAGCCAAACTGACTGGGGAAGGGCAGATGCAGGGGCTGCCAGGGCGGCGTCAGCTGTCGCTTCAGGCAGATATCGCTCAGCCAGTAGGCGGTCACACAGCGCTTGGCATCCCGCAGCGCCTGCATCACCATGCCATGGCGCTGGGTGCGGCAGATGACGTGGGTGACGCGGGCGCAATAGACGCGCTCGATGTCCCCGCCAAACTGTCGAATGGTGTCCAGCCAGATGGGCAGCTCATCGCTGTCCGTCTCGTCGTATTCCACGATGTAGAAGGTGCAGCCGACCAGGAACAAATCCGGGGGTAGCTTCAAGTTCGGATTATGGCCATAGAACTGGGGACGCGGTGGCATCGGAATGGGCGGCTGGCCGGGACGCACCTGCATGTAGACGTGCGGTGGTCCGCCGGCCACCTGTACGGGCACGCCCACTGGCAGCTGTTGTTGCTGCATGTTGGGCGGTGCAACCACAATTTGTTGCTGCACGAGATGTTGTTGCGGCAACTGTTGCTGTGACACGCCGACAACTCGTCGCATTTGTTGTGGATGCTGTTGCAGCAATTGCTGTTGTTGTTGCTGCTGCTGCTGCTGCTGTTGTTGTTGCTGCTGTTGTTGCTGCAGCATCAGCAGCTCCTGCGGTGTGCGCGGCTGGCCGGGCACGCCCACAGCAGCATTATGCTGTTGTCCCATCATGCGTAAGGTGCCAGCTGCCGATGGTGTCTCCACATGTTGCTGCGCTCCAGACGGCAGCTGTTGCTGCTGTGCCACAACTAGCTGTTGTTGCTGCTGCTGTTGCAGTAGCAATTGTTGTTGCTGCTGCTGCTGCTGTTGTGGTGTGCCGCCGCTGACAACAACTTGTTGTACAATCTGCTGCTGCTGTTGTTGTTGCTGCTGCTGCTGTTGCTGCTGTACATCGCTCATGGAAATGAGTTGCTGTTGTTGTGCCGGCGCCTGTTGTCCATTGTTGCCCAGGCGATTGCTCAGCATATTGGCCAACGCCGTCTTCGTCTTCAGGTTCATCTGTTGCGGCGTCTGTTGCTGTTGTTGCTGACCATCAGGAGCTGGGTCAGAAGGAGAATCTGCATTAGTCACTAAGTTCAATCCAAATCTAATTACGAGCTCACCTGTTGCTGACATGACCAATGTCTGTGTCATTATATTGCCTCCTGGCGCACCGCCTACAACGACGCCTGTACCAGGCGTCGTGGGTGTGCCCGGTGTGGGCGGCTGCTGCTGCTGTTGGCTCTGCTGCTGCACAATGGTTTGCTGCTCAATAAGCTGGCCATTGGGTCCGGGTATCAACTGCACCGTCTGCTTGCCCAGCTGAGGCGCCGGCGCCGCTTGCATGGGAATTTGCTGCACGCGCAGCTGTTGGCGCTGCAACAACATTTGCTGATTAGGATCATTGGGATTGAACTGTTGCTGTTGCTGAGGTAGTTGTTGCTGTTGTTGCTGGCCACCACCCGGCGGTTGCTGCTGCTGTTGTTGCTGCGTAATCGGACTCAGACCGGGCGCACCACTAGCACGCACCACCACCTGACGCGTGCCCTGCTGCTGCAGCCACAACATTTGCTCCTGCTGCGTGAGTCCGCCTGGCATTTGACTCTGCACAATAATGTGCGAAGTGCCTGGCCCCGGCACCGGCACTGGGCCCTGTGCACGTGTTGCCACCACGCTGCCCGGTGCGCCTGGACGCGGCTGGTAGGCCACCTGCTGGCGCAGCATGACACGTGGCTTGCTCTGATTCAGTTTCGTTATGTATTCGGCACGTTTGTGCGCATCCAGCGACATGAAGTGCGCATGCATCTTCTCGTCCAATTGGATCAGTTGGCGCTGCTGCTGCTGTTGTTGCGGCGGTGGCAGCACAAGCTGTTGTTGCTGCTGCTGCGGTTGTTGCGATTGCTGCTGTTGTTGTTGCTGCTGCTGCTGCTGTGCGGTCCAGGGCGTCTGTGGGCGCAGACCGCGCGGCGCAAATTGCGGCGCTTGTTGCTGGGGCGTGGTGGGTGTGCCCGGCAAGGGCGACTGCATGCCCATGCTCGTGGTGGGCGTGCCTGGTGTGGTGGGCGCCAACTGATTTGTCACAGGGCTTTGCGGCGACCAATGGGGCTGCTGCTGTTGCAGTTGCGTGTGATGCTGAGGCGATTGCTGCTGCAACATCAGCTGCTGCTGCTGCTGCTGTTGCTGTGGCGATTGTGGCGGTGGCGTGCGCTGTGGCAGATGCTGCTGCTTAATAAGTACTTGCTGCATGATCTGCTGAGCAGGCTGCTGCTGCTGTTGCTGTTGTGACACTGGCTGTTGCTGTTGTATAAGTATTTGCTGCTGTTGCTGTGGTGGTCCGACAAGTTGTTGCTGTTGTTGCTGCGCCTGCTGCTGTTTCTGCTGTAGCAATTGCTGTTGCTGTAAATATTGCAAGCGCTGTGGATCGCTGATGACTTGCTGATTGATCACAATTTGTTGTTGCTGTTGTGGCGCCTGCTGCTGCTGCTGTTGCATTTGCAGCCGTTGCTGTTGTTGCTGCTGTGTGAGCAGTTGCTGTTGCATTTGTGGGGGCGCCTGTTGCTGTTGTGGTGATTGTTGCTGCTGTGCCAACATCATTTGATTTGGTGGCATCTGCTGTTGTTGCTGCTGCTGCTGCTGTTGTTGCTGCAATAGTTGTCGTTGCTGCACAAGCTGTTGCTGCTGCTGCTGTTGTTGCTGCGACAGATTCGTGGAGTTTACAATGAACACATTTTGGTTTTGTTGATTCTGTGCCAAAATCTGCTGCTGCTGCTGTGCGCTGAGCTGGCTGAACTGCTGTTGACTTATGATAAACTTTTTGGTTTGCATGGGTTGTTGTTGTTGTTGCTGCTGCTGTTGTTGTTGTTGTTGCAGTGGCTAAAATCAGATTGAACAGAAAGTCCATTAGAAACATTTCCGTAATTGACTAGTATGTAAACTTACGTGTTGTTGCGGCTGCTGCGTCAGCACTTGCTGCTGTTGTTGCTGCTGTGGCTGCTGCGGAAACTGTTGCCCCAACAACTGTTGCTGCTGTTGCGGTGGCTGTATCGTTTGTTGTATAATTCGCACCTGACCGCCACTGCCAAGCGCAATATTTTGCTGTTGCGTAAACTGCACTTGTTGTTGTTGCTGCTGCTGCTGCGGCTGTGGTTGCAGCTGCTGTTGCTGTGGCAATTGCTGCTGTTGTGCCTGCTGTTGCTGCTGAGGTATCATTTGATGTTGCTGTTGCTGCTGCTGTTGTTGTTGTTGTTGTTGCTGCTGCAACTGCAACATTTGCTGCTGCTTCTGCTGCTGTTGCTGTATACTCATCATGTGACTCTGAATTATCTGTTGTCCCTGTGCGGTGGAAGTGTTTATCACGTGTCGTTGGGTGATGACTTGCTGCTGTTGCTGTTGCTGCTGCTGTTGTCCAGAGGCGAGTTGTTGTGATATTTGCTGCGGTTGCTGCTGTTGAGCTTGCAGTTGCTGTAACGGCTAGAAAGGAAAATAATTATGAGTATACAGCGACATAATCCATATTTCAGATTCACTTTGAGCACTCCTTTTGTTAGACATACCCTCTCTGGTTGTTGTTGTTGCTGCTGTTGCGTTGCTTGTTGCTGATGCAGTGGTGATTGTCGGGGCGAGGGTGTATGTTGTTGTGTAGGCATTTGTTGCTGTTGTTGCTGCTGCTGTTGCTGTAACTGCTGTTGCTTCAGCTGCTGCTGCCGCATTATCAGCGAGTCCTGATTGCTTGAAAGCGTCGAACGACTGAGCACTTGAGCCACTTGCACCGGATCTGTTGGATCGATGGGCTGGACAAATGATTGCTGTTGTTGTTGCTGCTGCTGATGCTGTGCTGCCTGCTGTTGTTGCTTGTTGGCCATGGGCGGTGTTTGTGATATCTGCGGTGATTGCGGCGCTGAGATGTGCTGCGGACTCTGTTGTTGCTGTTGTGCAAGCTGCTGTTGTTGCTGTTGCTGCTGCAGTTGCATACGTTGCTGCTGATGCACAGGTTGCTGGAACGGCTGCTGTTGCGGTGACATCATGGATGTTGGTGTCGGCTGTTGCTGCGGACTGCCCATCATGTGTTGTTGCTGCTGGCGGCTCTGTTGCAATTGTTGTTGTTGCTGACGCAAATGCTGCTGCGCACTTTGTGGCGAGGGTGGCGGTGGCGGCGTCATTTGTGGCGCGGGCGACTGCAGTTGTCGCGGCGACTGAGGCGGCAACATGTTGCTCAAGTGCTGTTGCTGCTGCAGCGAAGGTGATGGTGTGCCGGGTGGCATGACTGGCGAACGATTTTGGACCAATCGTGGTGATTGCTGCTGCTGTGGCTGTTGTTGCTGCTGCTGTTGTTGTTGTTGTTGCTGCTGTTGCATTTGCTGCATTTGTATTTGCAGCTGCTGCTGCTGTTGCAACAGTTGCTGTTGCTGCTGCTGTATCTGCCGTTGCAGCGCCTGTTGCTGTGATGTCAGGCTTTGGCCATTTTGAACATGTTGATGCAGTTGCATTTGCTGCTGCTGCAGCATCTGCTGCTGTTTCATAATGTGCTGATGCAGAGCTTGCGGCGAGACGGGCACCGACTGTTGCTGATGTTGAGGTACCTGTTGCTGTTGTGCCACCTGTTGCTGCGGCGACTGCACGGGCTGCGGTGTTGTTGCAGGCTGAGGCGTGCGCGGTGTTTGGCGTCCACTGGGCATGGATGGTTGGGGCATGGTGGGCGTGGTAGGCAGACGTGGCTGTTGCTGTTGTTGCTGCTGCTGAAGTAGAAGTTGCTGCTGCTGTTGTTGGTCCTGTTGCTGCATCAGCTGCATTTGCTGTTGTTGTTGCTGCTGTTGTTGTTGCTGTTGCTGCTGCTGTTGTTGCTGTTGTTGTTGCTGCTGTGTACTCTTCATTTGCCGCTGCTGCTGCAAGATGTGCTTGATCTGTTGTTGCTGCTGCTGTTGCTGCAGGTTGGCTGGTATGATTTTTTGTTGTTGTATTATGATTTGTTGCTGCTGCTGTTGATTTGGCGGCGGAGGTGGCGGTGGCGCTTGGGGTGCGCTCTGTTGCTGCAATTGCTGTTGCAATTGTTGCTGCTGCTGCAGATTCCGTGGTCGCACAAAAACAACCTGCTGCTGCGCTGGTTGTGGCAATTGTTGTTGTTGTTGCTGCTGCTGCTGTTGCAGTTGTTGTTGCTCGGCTGCGGCGCGCTCTGCCGATGCCTGCAGCTGGGACTTAATGCTGGCTATGCTCTTAGCAGCGCTGTCGTCGCCGAAGCCCAGTATATCAGAGAGCTGAGAAGCTGCTGGGGGCTGTTGTTGCTGCTGCTGCTGCTGTTGCTGTTGTTGTGGTAATTGCTGAACTAAATGTTGCTGTTGTTGTTGCTGCTGCTGTGCTAATTGCTGTTGCAATTGTTGCTGCTGCTGTTGTTGCTGCTGTTGTTGTTGCTGCTGTTGCTGAAGATTTTGTTGCTGCTGCTGCTTTTGCGCACGTTGTTTCTCGATTGGTTTCAGCAATCTGGGATGATAGGGCTCGCAGGGCAGGCAGCTCTTGCATTTGATACAATCGGTGACCCAATCGGGCGTAACGATATTCATCGCATTCTTGGGCAGCGCCAGCGCTTTATTGTAAATGGTCCCAGTGGCGGCGCCGCATACCAGATGCGTATTAGTCGCCCCATACGTGTTGGTGACAACGGCTCCGTGGAAGGTCAGCATAGCATAGAGACGCCTCCGATCGCTGGGCACCACGTTCGTAATAGCTGCCCGTATGCCGCGCATTAAACGCGGCTGGCTGGGATCGAAGGCACGCGTCGAGGCCATGCGACCCAGCTTGACGCTGTGCAATATCCATTGCTCGATCACAGGTATCACATTGTAGAGGTCCAGATTCATGGACAGCTCCTCCTCGGAGTAGTTGCTGGCACATATCAAATGCGTGATTTGGTCGGAGAGGAAAAGCTTCGATTGTGCGCCGCCGTTCTTAAGCAAGCGCTCGCTCTGCAAAAAGTAACAAAAAGAGATTTATTCAGTTTCGCAAGAATCAAGTTTATAGACGTGCAAACTTTAATATTGTGTGCAGGGCAATTGTTAAATATGTATATTAAAACTGTTAACAATTAGAAGGTGCAATGGTATTCAAGTTTATAATTATACAACATAATTACAAATTAACTATTTCAACATTTAAATATTTTGATATTCATATAAATTTGCCTAATAAAAGTTCGCCAATGTATCGATCAACTCCAATATAATATACATCTCTAATTAATACATTCAAGTCTATTAATATTCAACAAATTTAGAAATTAATAATGAAAATCTAGTTTGGAGCTATAAAATCTAAATATTCATATAAATTTTGCTAATCACATTTCGCAATATATCGCTCATCACTATCTACACACACGCATACACACACTCATATGCCTAGAAATTTGCCGGCAACATTTTATGGCGCGAATTTGGACTTGCACAAACATGAAACTCCCTGTGCTGCCAGCACTGATAAATTTGCCTTCGATATGCAATCAACAAATGTATTGTTTTGATGTCCAAAAGACACGTTTAATGTTTATTTGTTAAATGCATGAGTTAAAGCCGCCCTGTGGCCTGTACAGCTGCATCAGCAACACACAAACACTAAACTATAATCCTACACGCGCGTACACATGTAACACTCACACACGCACACAAACACACAATGCCAAATAATACAACGAGCGCGCACGTACAGCCCTTGGGTCTTCGTCTGAGAAGTCTCAATGTTTACCTCATCATCCAGGCTGCCGAGCACATAATAGATCACATCCTCGAATAGCTTTTCGCTTATCTTCGAATTTTCCATTTCTTTGTTATTTCTAGACTAGCATGCGCTATTCCTTTTGCTCAAATTTCACTTTTCTTTCGTTTCGCTTTTGTTGTTGCTGCGGCTGCCGCGGACATGAATATGGTAAGGCCTGCAGCTTCACTTTCACTGAGCACCCATCGCACACGATCGGTAAAATTTCAAAACTAGCACAACGTATAAGAAAAGAAGAGCTTGAATTGTTTAAATACATTGAACTAAAGCCTAAATAACTTGTATTCTTTTATATTTTACGGAAGCCCATCCGTCTCTTGTATGCAACAAAAACCAACGCTAGTGATGTGTTATCTGCCATATCGATTGACTAATACCAGGTATCGAGTACAAGTCGATAAAAAGATGTTAACCTGTGCTCGATAATTTGCTTAACATAAATTCGCTATGTAAACACTGACTGCTAACAAATTTCTGTATAAAAAGCGAACGCAAAATATTAAACTGTTCATTTGCTTTGGGGATAGGGAAGGATTCGTTTGGTGAGTTAAAGCTGAATAAATTTTTAAACGCTCGACAAGTGGAAACCTGTATTAAATAGTCTGCTAAACTACGTAATAAAGTGTTCAAAATAGGTTCTAATTTATAAACTTTTAAATATATTAATTTGCTTGATTTTTTTTTTATACAAATACACGTTGGCCTATACATATTATTAGCTTATGTTTTATAATTTTTTATCTTAACACATTTAAGACATATAGATCTTGAAAATGATTCCTTACCAGTTTTATTTTATTAACTCTGTTTTGCTTAGTTTTTACTATGTATTTTTCTATTTTCGGTTTGATGTATTCTTTGTTCTTTTCTCTTTTTTTTTATATAATTTTTTAATTTTTGTTGTAAAACATCTACAGAGTGGGAAATTCTCTTTAGAAGCGTAGAAAATCTCTTGTAAGTAAATTAATTTGATATTGCGATTGCATAATTACGGATGTGTTTTGGGTTGTTTAAATATTCATAGTTTTTGTTGTTGAAAATAGAGGAAAAGCAGCGCCTCCTGCTCATAACTGGGCTGGGAGGAGAGACGCGAGAATAGCTCCAGCAGCTTGTTCGAATTTCTTGTCATGCACGACGGCGCTCTTCATCAGTATGAATCATGAGGCGCTGTTCGATTCGCCGTTGCTCTCATGGAAATTGGTGCCATTCACAATAAACGAAGTGCCCAGGCCATACAGATGACCCGAATATTTCGCGTGGTCGATATTATCCTCAAAGAACATCTGAAAATAAATAATATTTAATAACAGTTTCGACAAGTATAACAGCTCTATGTGTATAACAGTTTGTATGTGTAGAACAGTTTAATTAGTATTTGAAATTGGACAAAAAGAAGTTAGTTATTGTCTTTAAAATTTAGAATGAGTTAGTAAGGCATTAATGATAAGCAACATGAACAAACATTTAGATGAGACTATATAAGCATATATGTATATGTGTGTGTGAAGTGTGAAGCTACAAAGAAGAAATTTAAAAACACAAGGAGATATTTTTACATAGATAAATAAATTTCAAGTTACATACCATTTACCAATTTGTGATGTCGAAATTATATATACTTTTTGTTTAATTTTGCTTTGAGCAAACGATTTTTGTAAAACTATTTTTAAACGGGTTAAACACTTGCTATTAATAACATTCCACAGTGCAATGAAAACTTTATGAAAACATTATCCCAATTCACTCAAAATTATAACGATAAAAGAAAACATACGCTTTGGTATTAGACACAAAATTGTTAAAAATAATTAAAGCACCAGCTTAAACCAGCTTAATTAAAAATAATAATTAAAATATTTATATATACTGCTTCACGAATATTTTATCCCTGTATCACAAAATAATTTTCACTAGATAATAAAAAGAAATCTATAAAGAATTAACTATGTATACTAATATTTTTGTTATCACTATCAAATACCGTAATAATATAAATTTGTTTTAGTTAAGATGCAAATTTGTAAGCAATAAATAATGTATTAAAGCAAAATGTTTTGTAGTTAAGCAAATGTGTGCAAGCAGATGATAGTGATTAAAAAATATTTCTGATAAACAAAATACATAAGATATATAGATATAGATATGATATGTGTCAATGTGTACGTAAAGCCCAGAAACCACAAATGATTAACAATAATGAAAAAGAAAATTATTGAATTTCAATTCATTGTTTTAATTTTCTATTCAAATTTCAGCAAACTTAGCTCGTTGCACTATCTTCATTTTTTTTTTTTTTTTTTTTTTTTTTTTTAAAAATCTTTGTGATTCGCTGTGAAAAAATACTGTTTTTAATCTGAAATTATAAATATATGATACTAAAAATGGTTAGAAAATGTGTTTTTTTGTTTGTGTTTTTCTTCATCAAGAAATAAAGTTTGGATTTTTACAAAAATTGTGTTGGGTTAGGTTTTAGCCGATGAAAGTGCGTTGCATGCAGCATAACAAATAAAATGTATTTCGTATGAATCCAGCGGCGTCTAAAATCTGATTAGGAGTATTATAAATGCGTAAGAAATGATAAAAAAAAAAAAAAAAAAAACAAAAACAAAAACTAAATAGGAGGAGTAGGACTATGTACACAAGGAGAGAAATAAGAAAACAATTGTTGAAAGTTAAAAAGAATGTGATTTCGAAACATTAAACCTTAACTGATAAATGATAAGTGGTTGATGAAAAAGCAAGATATTTGCAATGCATCCGCGCAATAACAACAACAACAATAACKTCAACAACATAGCTGTGGCAACAGCAGTCACAGCAACACTTGCAACGTTAAGATTGCGTGTTGTTGAGGCTGCTGCTGCTGCTATTGCTTGTGGTGCCMAAGAGGCTCTGGGCACCAGACGATGGCGGTGGTGTGACGGTGCGTGTATAGACTGTGATGGTAAAGCCTACGGCTTGAGAGCGTGTGATTATTTGTGACATGCTTAGGCTGTCGCCGTTCGTCTTAGCTGTTGTCGTCGTCGACGTCGTCGTTGTTGTTGTACTACGGGGACTGCTGAAGCTGCTGTTGTCGCTATTGTCGTCGCAGCTGCCACTGGGGACTGCAATAAAATTATTGCTTCGCAAACTGACCAGAACAACCGACTTAAGGTGCATGTTATGCTCAAGTACATGGGGAAAGAATACGCAAGGCTCTTCAATGTCAAAGTGAAAACCAAATGTGTGTTGTACCTCACGCATTTTGAAGAAAGCCATGCCCGTTAATAACGCATCCGAACCGGCCTGATGCTGTGGACCGACACGTCGCAGCTCCAGCTGATCGGCCACTTCCTGCAGGCCGCCCTTCAGATTTTTGCATGACTTCATCAAATATTTAATATCAAAGATATTGGGAAAATATATATGCAGCAACTCAAAGAAGTCACTCTCGTCCGCGGGTAGATTCTGATCGGTTAACAGCTTCAGGAGATATCCAAAATCGTAGCCGGAGTGAAAGCAAAGCCATTTGATATTATCCATCAGCACAATGCCTGAGCTCATCAGCAGCTCGGCAAAATCGATTGGATCGATGCCGTCCTCTTCATGTTTCTTAAACTGAATTCCTGAATTCTGAAGCAAATCTATCGAGTCTTGCGCATACATATCCTCGCTGCAATAGAGTAACAGAGTTAGGGTATTACCCTTACTAACACGCCAACCTTACCTTAGATTGAACTTGAAGTTGAACTGCCACGTGGAGTAGCCCGGCGGCGTTTTACCATCATCGTCCATAAACGTGAGGCCTAGCTGTATAATCCTCAGCAAATCGACATTACATCTCAGTAATTGATAATGATAATCGGCGGTCGATCGAAATTCACCAACGGGTCGCGCCACAACGCCCGGAAATTCGGTGTCCATGGCAACATAATGATATTTCTGCACTACCTTTCGTATGGTGCGAAACTCCTCTTCTAGATTATGTTTCCACACGTCCCGTATGCCGCACTCCTCATTGCTGGGTATATGCACCTGGCCATGCGCCCCGCCGCTGATGGCCGATGGCATTGTCTGTGAATGGTTAAGCTTTGTATAACACCTTTTGAAAAATATATATATTCGTGAAAATATGTGAATGTTGGTGTTGCGGTTGTTGGAGCCCATTTGAATGATTCGTTTGATTAAGAATTCCTCACAGCCATTTGTCTTCATTCGACTTCTTTTATTTATTATTTTTTTGTTGCTTTTACAATATATATACATATATACATATGCTTATAAAGATATGTATATATGTATACATATAAATATCATATTTTCAAATTTATAGACAAAGAAGTCTCTGGTCCTATATACATATCTAAAATACATATATAAAAACTATTATTAAACAGCATCAACAGACGACTCGATCTATCAAGATCGAAACTTAGCAGGGCCTCAGACATTTCAGTATCTAAAGCAAAGCGGAATGATGATGATTACAATATCTCATAGATCTATCATTTATCTAGACTGATCTTAAATTTTGATTTTTTCTAGGAATTTGGCATAAAATTGATTTGATGGAAAACTTAGTTCGTTTTTAGGTTAACTGCTTGGAGTTTCAAAGTACTTTATCCCTTGATTTTACTATCGTTAATTATGATATAGAATTTCGTCAGAGACTAGCTGAGACGCTCCTTAAACATCTTAAGAAATATACGACTATCATTAGAATTCAGCAGGGCTCCATTTGAGTGTACTATATGCATGTAAGGAAATGTCCAAATAGAAATTTCTTAAATGGAATGTTAGCAACATAAAGATATACGAAGTAGCCAGGCCAATTGGTTAACACAGTTGGAATTAAAAAATTTTTTTTCTGTTTTTGGGGTGCGAATAGTTATTGAAATATTTGTGTTTTTTGTTCTTTGCCAATTTTGTAGTTAGAGAGGTGCTACATAATTTTGCCCGCTGCTTAAGAAAAACCAAATGCACATAAAAACAAAGTGGCAATAGAGAGATCTAATTGGTTGATTTTAAGGATTGGTTTACTTTGTGATTGGGAGTTACTTGGGCGCTACTTACATCGTCGACGGTCGCCGTCTGTTGCTGCCGCTGCAGAGCTGCTTCAGCCACCTTCTCACCAAAGTTAACCTTAAGCTATGTATAAGTAATTTTTTCTTTCGAGTGTGTTTGTTTGTTTGTTTTTATCTTATAGTTTGGATTTAGTTCTCTGAGCTTTTTAGTGTGATCTCACAGCATCGCCTGTAAGAGAACGTTAAGCAACGTTGACTTCAAGGCTAGCGAAATTGGAATATTTAAACAACTATTGGTTGGAATCAACATAAATTGGTAATCAAAAATCAAAGAAAGTGAACATATATTAACTCTATATACATAGATATCGGAAAGCAAAATAAGTGCAATCTCTTTGCAAAATGCTCTCTCGTTTTAATTTAATAATTCCCTCAGCAAGAGTGAAAGGAGTGAAGGAGGAAGAACTCACTGCTAGAATATCATTTTGAGCAGTTGCTTGCAAACCGCATGCATGGGGTGCGGTCAAGGGTCATGTGATGTGCATTATCAAAATAATGGCGACACATAGGTATCCAAACAAAAAAGAAGACGATTGGCGACACAATTTAAACTGGGGCACGGCTGAAAGCGACTGCAATTTTTGCCGCGCTTTAAATGCAACCGCCTTTTTTATATTACACACTGTTTACATATATGCATGTGTGTGCGAGCGTGTGTTTGAGAGAAAGAGAGAGATAGCCAAGCGCACACATCTACACATAGAATGCAAGTGTGTTTGTAATCAATACACGCATATGCGGAAAATGTGTGCAGTTGAACGTGAAAATCGAAGGCCGTCACCGTTGTAATAAGGAAGCCCTTATGCCTGTCAATGGCCTAAAATAACAATTGATTTGGCATTACCTTGCCTCTGGAAACTTACCCATTTCATAGTATGCTTGGTTGTTTTTACAAAAATGCTTTTTTGGCTGCTGCTGCCGAATGAGTTTCACTTTTCGGGTTCTATATATTTTTGGTATTGCTGCAGTAAGCGTTAAGACGGATTTGCGGCTTTTCGAATGGTAACCGAAATGAAGTCCGGTATTAGAGCGATGACTGTGGCGTTAAATAAATTAATTGGCGTAAATGTTGTTTATGTTAAAGTGCCATAATGAAAGAAATGAATCTGTGATAGTGTTAAAAACAGCGCAATGTTTCTAGTGTTGCACAACGAGAAACCAAGAGACAAAACCTGGGCTGCACAATAACTTGTGGCTCTTTTTTTTGGAATTTTGTATAGCTATGTCTTACTGTGAATAAGTATTTAAAATAAACAAACAAAAATATTTCCATTCTCAATGACTTACTAGGTTTAATTTTACTATACACTTCATTGTTTATTTAAATGACTTACAGTTTCATTCATGTCAAATAGATGGCGCTGCTATCTGCGGTCAAGATGGCAGCTCTTCACAATCAGCTGTTTGAGTTTTAATGCACAATATGCAGCTCGTTTATTGTGTTTATTAAGCATTGTGAAATAAAAAAACGTAGTAAGTGAGTAGGATGTGCCATTTGAGTAGTTTCGTTAAGGACATTTATCAAGTAAATGAGTTTGGCAAAATGCTTTACTGCTATTTGTAATACGTGAGCAGCGTACCTGTCTTTGCCCATGTTTTCAGTAGAGATTTAGACATCGAAGCGCGTTGTTGCCGGTGGCCACTGTGCCCAGAAATTCAGATTTGTTTTGAAAACAAGAAGTAAGTTTGAAATGCAGGAAACCTAAAGAAATGAACGTTCAATTTGAAAGAAATGATTCGCTAAGTGTTTAATTTACACATGTTTTTAAGGCTGCGTGCTCATGCCAGCGTCATCAGTGAGTAATTTCTAAACATCTTTCACTTGGCCCATTTTATTTGTGTGTGTTTACAGTAAAGTGCTCAACTGAAAGAGTTGTTGGTAATGTTGTTAAATACTCTTTTTCCACATTTGCACATAGGCCAATTGAGCCGAATTGGTGTCTCTGTGTGTTTCGCTTGTTTATTTATCTGCCTCAGCCAAAACTAGTTTTTTCTTATCTTGCCAATTAGAGGCAATCAATTGGGCATTGACTTGCGAGTGAGAGCTTTAGCGGTTAAAAAACGCGGGCATTTCATTAAGCAGCCTACAAGCACACATACATATGTACATACTTACATTTACATGACGGCGCTTTTTGAATTGTTTTCTTTTAAATAGTCCGGTGATAATAAAAGTGTTTTGTGTCCGAAAAGGCTTCTTGACGTGGCATTTCCTTAGAGCTCGAATCTAAAAATTGTGACAGCTTTTGAGAATTCTTATGCATTTATCATTTTAATTGCCTGTGAACTTGTTTTTATTTTATCTTAAACTGCAAAAACATGTTTTAAAGCTCAGGAGTAAAGATTTATTATTATTAGCTTTAACCTATTTTCCATTGCTATAATACAAATATTTAATAAAAAACATAGCTAACTAGAAATAGCCAACTGGAAATTGAGTTTTTATTTGTAAAATATATTTTTGTCTAGACATCTGTATGTATGTATTTCAGGTTGTTTATTTGATACAATCAAAATTTAACTATGCTTTCAGTGATTTAAAAAATATTTCTAAAAAAATTAGAAATATAAATATTAAAAAATAGTATTAAGAAATACAAATTTAGGCTTATGAATAACAAAAAATTAATGATTAATTAATGGATAATCAAAATTAATTATATAGATGTAATAACGGTAAAAGAATAAAGAAATATAAGTTTACCTATAGCTTACATTAAAATTAATAACGTGATTTTAGACGTAATACATAAAATGATATACAATGCCTAAATTATAATAAATAAAGAGACAATTAAAATATGAATAATTAAATATGTTAAAAAAAAATAAGTTAATTTTTTTTCGCGCAATGATTTGGTAATCTTTAGCGAATGCTTTCGATAAATATTTATGTTAGTGTATATAAAGTTCTTATCGCGCCTATTTCGTATCTGATTTCATAATATGACAAGGCCGACTCAATAAGCATTCCAAAGTTCTTAATATAAATTTGAATCAACAGTAAATGTAGTATTTCGTCTATGATTAATATTATACATAGTATTTCTTATGAGATAGGATTGAAACACTCGAATTAAAATTCAGTTGAAATGCGCCCATTTGTTTATATATTTATTTTATTTACATATGCCGTATATGTATGTAGTATGAATGTAGTTTAATGATCACGTTTTGTTGTGTCGCACTCTTATTAAGTAAATTGTATCAAATCGTGCGACATAAACAATTTCTGCACGCGATCGACGACTGCATTGAAATTTCGTCAGTCGTCGAGCAACTGTCGAGGCATTCTGATCGCTGTCTCAATTGGCTATCAATTTTGTTCGTATAGTTGTTCTGAAGTTGTGTAACGTGTTTATCTTTCCAAAGCTACATTTGTGCAAACATTAATCTATGTTTTTTCATATTTGGAAAAAAGGTGAATGGTTTCTTATGAAATATGTGTGAAAGTTGCAGCTCGTTTTAAGTACGATGCTTAAAATAGTATTGAAAATTAAAATATTGATTACTTTCTGTATTTAAATAATAGTTTAGTTAAATTGAAGAGAATTGCATAGAAAGCTATGGTGTATGAAGAAGGAAGGAAAGAGAGAGATAAAAATAGAAATAAAGGGAGGTAGACAGAGACAAAGATCTACTGGGAGGCAGAGAGAGAGAGAGATATATAGTTAGAGGGAGGGAGCTATAAGTAGGTAAAGTTAGATGTAGATGTATAGAGAGATAGAGACAGAGAAAGCCATGTAGATATTTAGATATTTAGAGAGAGAGAGAGAGAGGGAGAGAGGGAGAGAGTGAGAGAGAGAGAAAGAGAGAGAGAGAAAGAGAGAGAGAGGGAGAGTGAGTGAAAAAAAAAACAGTTAGTACATATTCCCACTCTCATGTCACTGGCCATCGGGACTCGCATTAAAATAAATTTGAACTCTGCAGCTTGTTAAAAAAATCCCCACTTTATTTATACCTAATTTTTTATATACAGTTTATATACAGTTGTGTTCGTTCTATCCTAGAACTAGTTCATGTTACATTGATTCAGAGAATTCAGTAATCTAAACAATTGTCTGCAATATGTATGATGTGCACGGACGGGAAAGACTATACCATATATATTTCAATTATAAAGCGTTGTATAGAATTGCAGAGAAGGGCAATAGAGATCGAACTATTGAATAATAATTGATTTATGGCATTTAAGAGTGTGTAGAAGTTTTAAAAATAGCGCCTAATATTACAAATGTGTTTATATGATCTCTGATCAATTATATTATGTAAATAAAATAAGAAACTCAATAATGTGCATTGATAAATATATGTATAAACAAATCTAAACAATTCTTCTAAAATTCTTACAGATAGCTCAAGATGCCTATGAAGAGCTTGAGTGTTTTGCTGCCTGGCCTAAAATGGCTGCAAGGATATACGGCGCAGGATGCGGTGGCTGATCTGATAGCGGGCATTACGGTGGGCCTGACGGTGCTGCCACAAGGCTTGGCCTATGCCACGCTGGCCGGCCTGGAGCCGCAGTATGGCCTCTACTCCGCATTCGTGGGCGGCATAGTGTACGCATTGCTGGGCAGTTGTCGCCAGGTGACGATTGGACCGACAGCATTGTTGGCTCTCATGACCAGCCGGCACACGGGCTTTGGCCTGGACTCGGGTCCAGCCTATGGAATACTATTGTGCCTAATCTCAGGCATTGTGGAGCTGGCAATGGCTGTGCTCAAGCTGGGCGCCCTGGTGGACCTCATTTCGTTGCCCGTTACAGTGGGCTTCACGTCGGCAACGGCTGTCATCATAGGCACCTCGCAGCTGAAGGGTTTGTTGGGTTTGCGTGGCGGCTCAGGGTCGGATTTCTTGAATACCATGCGCTCTGTTTTCGGCAATCTGCACAAGGTGCGTTATGGAGATCTGACATTGGGACTGGTCTCCATATTTGTGCTTCTGCTGCTGCGAGTGAGTTGTCTATGGAGTCCTTTCCTGAGCTCTAACTGAAACGTTTATCTTACAGAGATTGAAGAACGTCAAGCTGGCAAATCGCGTGGGCAACTTGCGGGCTCAGCAGCTGCTCAGCGGCAGCATTTGGGTCATATGCACCGGACGCAATGCACTCGTTGTGCTTATGTCTAGCGTGCTGGCTTATAGCCAGTGCGGCCAGCAGACGGACTGTCCATTCATACTCACGGGCAAGGTGAAGAGTGGCTTGCCGAGCTTGGCGCTGCCCAAGTTCGAGACAACAATTATTGGCCAGAATGGCACAGAGGAGCATCAGAATTTTGAGGATATGGTGAGCAGTCGCTGTGTTCATGTAATGATTACGAATATATTTCGTCTATTTTGCAGCTTTCGGAACTGGGACCCTCCATGCTGATCCTGCCCATAATTGCTGTGCTTGGCAACGTGGCCATTTCGAAAGCTTTTGGCGGCGTCGGATTGAGTCCGACGCGCGAGCTGGTCGCCCTCTCGCTGAGCAACATTTGTGGATCCTTTTGCAGCTCGATGCCAGTCACCGGGTCCTTCTCGCGCAGCGCTGTCAATCATGCGAGTGGAGTGCGTACGCCCATCGGGGGCTGCTATACGAGCTTGCTGGTGCTGCTGGCTCTGGGTCTGCTGGCTCCCTACTTCCAGTATATACCCAAGGCGGCGTTGAGTGCTGTCATCATTTCGGCTGTGATATTTATGATTGAGTTTGAGGTCATTCGGCCGCTGTGGCGGTGCAGCCGGCGTGAATTGCTGCCGGGCGCAATCACCTTTGTCATGAGCTTGGCAATAGGCGTGGAGATTGGTCTGCTGCTGGGTGTTGGCGCCGATGTCGCTTTCCTCGTTTATCGGGCAGCCAGACCAGTTCTGACCGTCTCCAAATTGCAGACAATCAATGGGATTAGCTATATTCTGATACGGCCCAAGCACAGTTCGCTGTATTTTCCGGCCATCGAGTGGGTGCGCAATGGCATCTCAAAGGCGCTCTCCACGCACGGCACAGCGCCCGTTGTCCTGGACTGCGCGCAGGTGCATGGTATGTATGATAAGAATATCGGATTGGTATGTACTTTTCACTGTATTTCTTCAATATTTCGATCTTAGATTTCGATTTCACAGCCGCTCGCGGCATGGGTAATCTGCACAAGGAGCTGGCCAAGGCGAATGTGCCGCTGTTCCTGATGGGCGCAGACAAGAATATTGGCGTCATACTGAAAGAGTCGACAAATATTGATTTTCCCACGATAGATTGTCCCAATGATCTGGAGTTCATTCTGGAGCACAGTAAGCAATGGATATACAATGGATATATATAGATTACACTAAATATTCTCCTCTTGCAGCTCCCAATTATGAGCTGCATTTGCAAGTGACTGCACCGCTGGTGGACTCAAACGCCGACAACATAGTCACTGAACTGAGCACACTGAGTGCAAAAAGTACGTGAACATATCGAAGCTTCGCTTATAAACAAAATTGCTTACGATGAAGCGCACACAGTTGGAGCTGCCGTCACAATTTAATACTCTTCCAAAGCAGCTATTTTTTACCTCTATGTCTAAGCCTTCTCACAGTTCTAGTTAAGTTTTTAACTGCCACACATCCTATTGGTTCGTTGTCATTCCTCTATTTATACCCCAATCGAATAACTAACTTATTGTAAATTGTAAATATGATTTATGTTGTCCATGTTCAATTAGATTAAGTTATGCTAACTTCAGTTGCACTGCATACGGGATATTTTATTACGAATTCAAAAGAGAGGGAGAGAAATATTAGATAGATTATACATTGAATATATTGAATATATATGAATTGATTGATTTATAATTGCTTAGGTAGGTTAGATCAAATGTTTTTTTATGCTTTAGACTATTGGAAGAACGCCAAAGCTGGCCACATTACACATATTGCCGTGGTTGCGAGCCAAGCGCATGTAGCCCTGCTCTCCCCAGCTACCCCAGGAGTTCTTGATCAGCCAAAAGTCTCGAGCGTAGCCTACGGCAAGCACGCAATGATTCACGTCTTGGCCACAGGAAGGATAGCTGAAGATGCCGCTACGATAGTGATGGAATTTACTAGCAACGACGCACACCGAAACCGGACCCCTTTCTGCGTGAGCCAATGCCTTCTCGCTGTGTGGCACTCTTTCCACCCCAGAGACCGTAGCGCCAATACCTGAGCGACGGTAGCGACAGTATCCATTGCGGGCCTTATACGGATATGCCGACTCAGTGTCAATACCACGGTTGTCCTTGACATACCTTAGCGCAGCTGCTGGCCAACCGCCTCGACAGCCGTGATTGTTGTACGGAACGGAGCAGTCTACTAAATTTTGTTCGGATAGCAAAATCATTTTCTTGGTCTTTATGAAATGTTGACTACAAGAGCGCCCGTAGCGGAAAATGCCCAACAGGAACCGCAGCTACCTTGATTCTTCACCGCTGAAACGGCGCCCTTGCGACGCCAGTCAACCTCTTCTGGTATTTCAATATGGCGGGGTAAATAGATCGAGTCGATGCTGGAGTCGAAATCGGTGGTGTTCATATTGGACAACATTATTTGCTTGAACTCCTCTGGCAGCATGTCTGAGAACTGGTTGATGCCCATCTCGTAGGTCTCCAAGCCCCTGGCATAGCGTGCGTTGTGCTTGTCGATGGTTTCCTTGTTGAGCTTAAAGATCTCCATGCGCAGGATCTCCTCGTCGATGTCCTCGTAGCTCTTCTCATGCTTCAACTTGAAGGCCTCAAAGTCGGCGGCAAGCGCATCCTCGTAGATGATTGCCTGACAGGAGGCCACGAGCAGAGCGATTAATACTATAACAACCGACTTCATCTTTAGCTTTGAATGTGGAACAATGATGCGAGCTTTGAAAGGTGTTCTTCTTTATATATCCCCAGTATGGCCCGCATATTTGTTATTTGTCCCTAATAGCAATTATTTTTGGACTACATATTGTGGTTGTGGTTAAACGATCAATCGACCTGCCATTTCAAGTAAATTGGAAATCAGTGTATAGTCACCATCGCTTATTCTGAGAAGGTGACACTTTATGCACGCATTACCGATTTCATAAAAAGATTCATTTTATTTACTGCTAAGTATAAGAGTATTTTTTGCATTAATGTAAAGTGCTTATTTTTTTTATTTTTTTTATTTTTATTTTTTTTATTTTATTTGTTAAAGCCATACGAGGTTTTTCGATAACCCCTTTGTGAGC